TACGGTTATTATTACGAAGGTTTCTAAGGAGTCAAACCCGCTTCCCCAGAGCTTTCCTGGGAATCTCGGCGCCGTGAAGTGGGAGCGCAGGAGAAGGGGAGACACAACCGGTGCTCCTGGTTCCCCTCCTCAGCCAGCCCCGCCAGGACCGCCCGCCCTCCGCTTTCTCCTGCCACACGGGGAAGCGACAGAGACGCGATCTTTGCTTCCCCCCCGCCTCTCTGCTCTCCCACAGCCGCCCGGCTCGGGATTTCCCTCGGGCAGAGCCGGGAGCGGAGCCGAGCCGCCGGGCAGCGCGCAGTTAGACCGCGCCTAACAAAGCCGCAGGCGTGCGCTCCGCTTCGGCGAATTATCCTCCGGAAGCTTTTATCGAACAACAGTTAGAGCACCGTGAATGAAGGTATCGGAAACACATACACACTAAATGGGTAAAGAAATGCGAGTCTGGAAACCAAAATTCCGTTTCCCACCACCGCTGTGAGGCAGGTACTAATTTACTGCGGCTTCAAGCTATGTAATTAGTCAAGGAGACTGTAATTTACCTAAAGGACAACAAAATTTCCCTTTATTAATCTGCAAGATATTTGTAAAATAATCATACGGCAGCTGGCTCTGCTTGAATCTGTGTCAGAAGTGTGATGTAAATACCGTCTCACACTATTTTGATGCCTATTGGGGCTTTCTGGTAGGTGATACGACTGAGACTCAGGAGAAGGAACACCACACATTTATTTTTAAGACCATCATCACTAGTGATAAAACTTAGGGGAAGAAGCGAGCGTAGTCCCTAACTGTATGCACTTAAAACAAACGTATGCCAAGTTAATGCAAATGAAAAAGATACAACTGGAAGACTACGTGTACAGCAGGTACAGATCAGGGTATTTTCAAGAGCTGTTTCAGCTGTGGTTAAAAGTAGTAGCAAATCCCCAAATTAAATTGCCCTATTTATGGCAAAGACAAAGAGCAGGAGGATGTGCTAGGGAATCGGGTGGGTTTTTTCCACCTGTTTCCTTTGCAAAGGTTTCAGTATCTCTGGGTATCTGTGAGCCCACAGTTACTGTGCAACAACAGCAAGAGTGCAAATAATCGATCTGGAATTCATTGCATTTGGATTTTTCAGCAGCAAACTTCTGAGATTCTGATCTTCACTCAGCAGATTAATAGTCCAGATCAGTGTCAGAAGAAAATAAACACGATACCTACACAGGCATTTACCACTGGTCTACTCACTGTCCACAGAGCCAGTTTGCACCCAGCGCGTGGCAAGTGCAGTGTAACACTGAAATCCAAGAGGCCGTGACTGTAGGATCAAAGCTTTATTTCAACTGTAACACATTATATTCATGGATTATAATCCTTGAGCAAATAAAATATTACAGTAATGAAGACGTTAGCAGTACAAATATGTTAAAACAGCTTGCATTTGGGGTGATATTTAAGGTCAAGTTGTATCTGAACACAACTATTAAAATATTATGAAAATTACCATTATGGAGTAAATAATGTTTTCTTTCAGATGCAGCCTCTAGGAGTACATTCCATTTCAAATTTAGGTTTCTTATTTTTCAATACCAACAAGCTCAAACCAAATATCTACGTCTCTGACCTGCTCTGTGTGAATGAAAAAAGACAGAATTGGTGAAGTACAAGATCAGCCTAAAATCTAGCTCCCAACTTCTATGAAAACATGACCCCAAATAAATACAATAAAGAGGATACCACAGTAAGTGTCAAATATCCTCCATCTAAACCATCTAATTATTTCATATGTACTCTCAAATGAAATTAATGGGCTTAAGAAAGATTCTGCAGAGTAAGAAATCTCTTATCCTAGGGAGAACTAACATGCCTTCTGCTACTGCCCCCACAGCCAGAATAACTGAGAAAGTAAGAAGCTTGGGAATGTGACGGCAGAGGTGACAAGATGGGTGAACAGGCTGTGCTCCTGGGTTAGGACTGTGGTTACTCATCTGTGCATAAACTTGTGAGATAGTTAAAGACTAACTTACAGTCAGGCAAAACCTTTGGTTGTCCTCACTGCTCTTCTCCCAATTGCTTTTGCTCACCCACTAGAGAAGCAAAAGAAGCAACAGGCTCTTAGGACCACTGCAGCTTATATACACCTACATTTTAACACAAAAGGGCAAGCAGCAAGTCAAGAATGCAGAGTAACAGGTTATGTTCTGAGGGGAAAAAAAACCAACCCATATTTACCCAAGATAGGTAGGAAAATATGTTATACATAATGTAGTATATGTTATATTTTTATATATGTATAAAAGCATGGGATAAGTTGGGGTATAACCACACAGAATCAATGTTTGAAGAGACAGCCTTCAGCTGGTGAAGAATATGCATTCAAGACCTCACTTATAGCCGATATTAAACCATACAGATACAAATCAATTTTAGGGATTTAAAAAATATTTTTTTAACACACCTAAGTTCAACTTTTGCTCTCCCAAATTTATATCTATTGAAAGGCAACTGGCAAGCTAGCTCAGCCATAGTAAATCAAACTGTACACCCAACAAATGGCAGTGTAGCAGGAGATACCGTATAATTACGTTGCCCCAGGGTCTGTGCCAGTCATTCCTGTACCTCCACAGCCCTGCTGTGCTCCTCCCTGCCCCGGCTGCTGGGCTCCTCCACAGCCAGACACAGCTGCATGCATTTATACCAGCCCAGGCCACCGTGAAGGCCCTTGTCTCTGAGGGCCTGCCTGCTCTAAACTATTCTCTTCATTTTTTCCTTTTCTGGACCCGTTCCTATACAGCTTTCCATGCACTAGTTGTCCTATTGCTTCTAAAGCTACGCTGCAGAAAGAAAAACTAATTTCATTCTTTGAAAATAAGTTAGATTTTAACCTTAATCTCTTTGCCCAATAATGAAACAACCTGCAACATGTCAAGCAGTTAACTGTGGCACAGAACCTGCACCACCACTGCTGGCAGGTGTCCTCTGCAGCAGCTACAGATCCTCCCAGGCAGCTGCCACTCCTCACCGTCCTTCCACCGGGTATCAAAAGGGGCCAGGGGACAGTGAGCATCTGCATTGTGTCCTAGTGTTTGGGCGGAGTCGAAAGAGATAAAGACCCAGATTATTCACACATATAAACTACTTAGGGGCCCAGACTTCAGTTTAAGTGATTTCCCTTTGGATGCAAAGACCGGGATGAATCCAAGTCTCTGTTAGCAACTAACTGCTCGCTCATACCTTCATTCTGCACATCATGTGGAATGGCTTTTCCCTTGTCTGCTCAACTGGTTCTGATTATGTGCTTTTTAAACTCAGCTCTACAATTCTGAGATTCCCACTAAATCAGACTGAGAACCACATTGTGATCTTACAGAAGAAAATATTACCAAGTTGTCTTTGTGACAGAACACTGAGTAGGTATAAAATTGCAATGGTCTCTATGCCAGGTTTTTTTTTTTTTTTAAAGCTCTCCACTTGTAAAATGAAAGCCTAATTTGATATTTTTGTACTTATATAACAGTTCTAATATTTTGTGACATTTTGTATTGTGACACTATAGATGAAATTGTCATCGGACTGACACCCTTTACTGTTTATTCCTTAATTACAACTGTTAACAACACTGCAGAGAAGCGTGCTAATCTGCCATCACATATTATGAAAACAACGTTATTGTTACAAACACCAACACCCACTCAACAGGATATTTCTAAGATGGCAGTTTCTGTAAAAACTGATCAGTTTAATGGACACTTCAAGAGAAAAAGTTTTAAACTAACTCTTAATATTTCCACTGAAAACATACAACAATTTTATATCATAGCTGAAATTTTGATTTTATTGTCAGTGATTCTTCATGCTACATAAATATATTTTTTTTTAATAGTAGGGTGTATTTTTATGTAACATGGAGATGCATAGATCAGTTCACTAGTAGCCTAGCAAAATCTGTAACCATTATGCTCTCATACCCTCAAAACACTAGCAAAGGTAATTTCCCCCCACTTCCTTTCAGATCAGGGGTGGAAGTATGTTGTTGCATATGATATTAAATTTTAGCAATATATTAACTCAAGTTCAGGTTCTTAATTTGTTTTGGTTTGGTTTTTTCCTCCTTCTAGGCTTTCTTTTCTTAGGAAGGATTAAATTACTGCAGGCCAAGTAACAAAGAATCTTCTACTGAACTGATACTTTAAAAAGCACTGCACTAGAGCAGTGGAATTTTTATACCGAGTGAGCCCACTGTACAATCAAAACTCATTGCTACTGCAACTCTGTAGGAGGAAGCCAAGGAGCTGTTCAATGGCTGAGAATGAAAATAATATCTCCTTGCTTCTTGGACAGCCACTGCCAGTTACCTTTCAGTTTGCTTCTTTCAAACTTCTCACGCCTAAGCAAAAGTTCTCACTTGTGGATCACGTCAACAGAAAGAAAACAGCATTAAGAGCAGGCTAGAAGTAGCAAAAACCCTAGAGATTTGTTTACTTTTTCTTGTCTTTAGCCACCCACTAGACAGGAAATACGAAGTAGGCAGCAGGAGGCTGGGAAAAGCAGCAGTTACCAGAGCGAGGTGCAGAAGTGATGAAAGTGGCAATGACAAAAATCAGGGAGAATAAGATACAGAAATTCAAGGTGTTCCTTCTACAATTGCTCTCATGAAGGTATTTACAGAGATTCCTGGTGCTAACCCAAGGCTGCTCTGTCTGACACAACCAACCTGCCTTTCCTGTTAATGGTAAATTCCTCCTTTCTCCCTCATCCACAAAGAGGCATGCAGCACAGACGACCGCAGTGAAAAAAGATAACGCATGAATCTCTTTACTTATCACACTTATATGTAGAAGCAAAGGATTAAAAATAAGCTAAAACTCTTCTCATACTGAAAAAGCAATTGCCTTGGTGGGTTTCTATACACTGGTGTTTCTCAGTGTTGATCCTGAAGCCCTTTTGAGGATTGCCTCTCGTAATACAGAATAAAAATAAAGAATATGTGGCAACAGAAGCAAATTATCCCATATAGTTCATTTTCATTCAAAGGATTTACATTACAATTTAATAGCATGATATTCTGTTGCCTGATCTGGATGATCTTGTCTGCTTAAGCTACAAATTACAAAACAAAATGAAGGTAGAGTGTTTATTTTTGTAAATCTTCTTCTGGGTAGCTTATGTTCTGTTTTGTAGTTTTCATTCTCTTAAAACCAATAGGAACTTCTGCTCTTCCCAAAAGAAACTGCTCCCACTTGGGAAGAGATTCTTTTACTGATGCCCAATAGAGAGTCTGAGAAAGATACAAGAAAAAAATAAATTCAAAATCTGTGTCAATTTGTTTAAAAACAATGTATATATGCAATGCATTCTTAAATCTTGCCTTACAAGTGAAGCAATTCAGAAAAGAACAGCATAGTTACACATACAATTTCAAACCTCTCATCTGATACAAAACACCAGCCTGGAAAGATTTCATTCTGCAACACGAACTGTGAAGTGACTGAATGTGCCCTCTTGTGGTAAGCAACTGAGTAGCTGAGAGCCTCATAGTACCTTTAATAAAATATTTCCTATGATAATCAAAATTTCCAGAGGCAGATTTTATATTTAAGTATGTATGTCAGTGGAATTTAATTTTGAAGTGGAAAAAAATGGTTAATGTTATAAATTAAAAGTGCTATGTAAGTTGGTTGTCCTAGAAAAGACTGCAGTAATGTAGTTCAAAATGTTTGTGTAAAATTTCAGACCTTATAAATCGCTGATGAAATAATTTGGTCCAGCATTTGGGTCACAAACAAACAACAGAAAAAAGCTGTTTATTTATCCTGTCGTCTAAGAAAAACAATGTGGATCATCCAACCTTTGCTTTGTGTTACCTTGTGCCTCTGAGTAATAAATCTAATTTCCTTTTTACCTGTGGGATGGACATACCATTGATAATTTTTGTGTTGGTATCCTAAGGATAATATTGTTTGTAGAATTTTGAAGAAAATTGTCACATATAATTTTTATCCACAAAATAATGTGATCAAAGAGCTATACTAAGCCAACACTTTAATTCATCTACCAATGTAAGTATTTTTAGATTATGTCCATTCAAAGAAAGTGATTTCATAGTAGAAAACATTTACAATACATATGTATTGAGCCTTTTTTTTCCTTTAAGTGCATAACGTAGAAGTGTACCACACAACTGAACATCTCTCTGCAGAGTACCAGATTCCTGGCTAATCATTTTGATCCTTACATGTAACTCAGATATAACTATGGCTCTTGCGGATTTACAAAAATATTTTCTTCAACAGATTTACTCAAAGAATCTTTTTTGACAAGCATATGTGCTGTCACACAAAACCACTCCGACTTAGCAAGCTGGGGATCCATTATAGCCATAACTTTCAAAGTATATTAATACAGACACATATATGGCTGAGTGAAATATGCTCAGAAGTGTTTTGGAACAAAGCATGCACAAGAATTTTGTACCATGAAAGAAAGTTTTCTTTTCCCACTATTTATAGCACACTTCTCTAGAAGTATAAAAAAAGCTGAAATAGGATCTTCTTCTTCAAATAGTAACTCTGTTCTCTCTCAAATTCAGCTGCTGCTGTGGAGTGTAGGCATCTCTGCAGCCATAAGCAATTGCTCTGTGCTCTCCAATTTGCACGGACTTTGGTCTACACGCTGCAAGCAGCTTAACACCTAACGCAGGACAGAGGGAGAAACAACCCAAAACTGATCCAAACAACTCTAGAGATGCCTTGCAAGTTCTTGAGGAGTCTAAAACTACTTCTGAACACAGTCAAGATACATTCAATATAGGTCGCTTGGCACCTTTCTTAGCATCATTCAAGATACACAAGTATCTAGGAAAAAATGTACCCTTTTGTCTAAAATCTCTAAAAAAATACACTTAAAATCCCACTGAACAGCCATGCTCAGCATGCACCCTGTCACAGCCATGGAAGCAGGCTATTTACAAAATGCAATGGCAGACAAAAACCTTTTAACAGTATGAGAACCAGAAGTGGTGCCTCTCATTTAAGTTACAGCCTGAGCATCACAACACTTGCCCAGCAGGTGTGACACTGATGTACAATACACCTCTCCTCACAGGCTGACAGTGCTAAAATCTACACCCTTCCTCTCCTTTGACACTGCCCTAGCACACAAACTAGTGTAGGACACAGTGCTACTATGCCTGTGAAAACCAAGCCACCATACAACGAAGAACCCACAAAATCACTGGTGCAAGAACCACAAGTGGGAACCTGAGTTGGTGGCCTTTGGTTGAGGTGTTTATTTTGCAGGAGGAAGAGCTGTGCTCCAGGTCCTGTTCCCAGGACTGTTTCTGTCCTCATCATTCAGTCATCACTGCATAACACTGCCTAATGCAGTCTGGAGACTAGGGAACTAAACTTACTATGTTGTATCAGGATAACATTTAGTTCTCAGAGTAACTTGCTGTTCAAAATTTTTAGCTTTAAATAATCTTTTAAGGATTACAGGTTAAGAATTAAAAACCAGGTGTTCCTGCTGTAGCAATGTTTTTCATAAGCTCCCATACAACAATAAAATAAACCTGAGAAGTGAAAATTTCTCTGTTCATACTGATAAACTGTTTACCCTGAAATGTAAAGATGACAATCTGTGGCAATAGGTGACCATATAAAACGAGCAAAATAGCTGTGACACAATAAGCACAGTAATCTCCTGATATTTGCAACAGTCATTTTTATATTTGACTTAATTTTTATATTTGACTTAATTTTTACGTGGAAGTTGGTACAGATCTGAAAGCTGCTAAATATTTCCACCAGAATGCTCTAGAATCTAGGGACCTTGCCCCAGAATTTAGGTTCAGCTTGCTACACAGTACACAGGCCTTTGGCTATACCAGTCACTGGATTTTAAAATCAATTATTTTCACTTTAAGAACATGCTTCAGGGGGGAAAAAAAAAGCAAAATATTTGGTAAACAGCAAACGAAAAGACAAAGTTCTAGGACTTACTTCTAACTTAACAGTATCGGGATGTGGAAGTAAACACATTCTTTCTTGCAGCTTTTTTTCTGCTGATTCTATAGCCTAAAACACAGGCAAAGTACATTTTAAAATCAAACACTGGGAATTTTAAAAGGAAAATGCACACTCACACAAAACATTTAAATTAATTAAATAAACCCATTACAGCAAAACAGCATTCAGATAATAGTGCTGAAGTTCCAATCTTTCTGTTTAGTCATTCCTAAATTCAGCTTGTACTAGTAAGACTAACATCCTACAGTTTCTAAATAAGTTTGCTGTACTTTTTGATACAAGAATAAATTTCATGACCACACAACTCTGTTGCTGTAGAACACCATTATCCTCTCTGGTCACTAGGGTAAATTACAGTTAAATTCTGTTCTGTAAAAGTTAAGAACAGAGGGGAGCAGAATGGTTTCCCCCATGCTGCATGAAGACTGAGGATGTATTCTAGCTGCTCTAACTGTAAAGTAATGAGGCAAATTATGTGCAAGATCTTTACTCCTCAAGACAAAGATGACTTGCTAATATGCATGCATAACATGTGCACAAAAATGTAGAGCTGCAGCAAGCTGTTCACCAGACAAACTTGGATGACAATGCACCTCACATAGCTTTCTAACAACAACAAAAAACAGTATTTGGGTTTCTGCTTGTCCAGTGGATGTGTGCTAGATTCACAAAAGCCTAAATATTTTTTTTTTCAAAAGAAACAACCAAAAAAACCAACAGCAACAAACAATTCAAAACATCTCCCCAAACTAACCGCCCTCCCCTTTTAAAGTTCTGACCCATTCTTGTGGGCTTAGTTCCATACCCAAACATTGAAGAGATTGAGTGGTGGGCAGATGAAGAGAGACAGAAAGGGACGTGGGAGTGGGGTGTGAAGAAGCCAAAGCTGAACAGAGTGGAGGGGGAAAGAAAGTATAGCAGATGGCAGAGTTGGGAGCAGAGAGCGGGTGTGAAAAGTACAACAGAAAAACTAAATGAGAGAGGAAATTCCCCAAAGGGACTTCCCAAATATTCACCACCACTGCCACTGAAAAGAGTGAGATTCTGGAGGAGCATATCCACAAGGGAGACCAAACATGATTACTCCCATTGAATAATAGCCAATCTGAACACACCAATAAGTAAACGGTGCTCGACTCCAGTTTAGATTGAAAAATATGACTCAAATTCAGTAGAGTATGATTAACAAAAGCAAAAACCAGCCTTACTGTTACTTGAAGTTCAACTTAGTGATACAGATGCACTCAGCTCGTTCCATATACAGTGTTCATCTAATTTCATGAATTCCTTTTACAGCATGACTGCATTCTTTTGTACACAGCTGTAAGCCTAATCCACGCAACTGTTCTCCTTTTCCTACAGCAAAGTGTGTGCCCTTGTAGGAAGCTAAAGGATATCTGAGAAAGAGCAAACTAAGTCTGAGATCTATCCAAATCCTCGCAAGCAGCAAGTGGCTGCCCCTTTTCAGGTGAGAAAAGACTCACAGGGTATAAACATGAAGGGGGAATACAAGCAAAGATGGAAGCCATTTGAAATCACAATGTCAAAATAAAATGACAACACAGGCTGAAGTAATCTAAGCATGTAATTTCTCTTTTGCACATACTACAAACAGCACCAAATGAAGCTCCTGTCACTGTGGCTCAGACCAAATCTGGAGAAGTTATCACCACACTGAAAAGAATCCATCAGTAACATTCACTTCCTACCCTTCCATAGGATTTTCCTCCTTTCTGATTCCTTCTTCCTAATTCCTCTAAGAATTTTCACAGGAGTGCAGAATATCAGTCAAGATCATTCTTTCTTTATAGACTCAGCTAAGTCATGGGAATGTTTATGGTGATAGGAAATGAGTGTCTTTGAGGCAAGAAAGGAGGCAGCAGTTGTGCATATATGCTTAGCAGCGAAGGTCACTTTGGCATAGCCTAGATACAGGATGTGTCTTTTCGTTGCTCACTCTGGTTTGTATGTTGTGCAGTCCATTGTCATCCAGAATGCTGATTTAATGACAGACAGTGAAAGAAATTTTTGCTGGAAGGTGCAGTATGATTTAGAAAACAGCTGGAACTACTGGAAGATTAGATGGCACTTCTTGTGTGCCTACACAACTGTGAGCTTGTATGGAAGATAAATCCTCATCAATATAAAAGTAAATCAGCCATGTAAACTTCTTTGGAAAAAACAGCACACCCAGGATGTCACAGTACTGAAAAAAAAGAGAGCATCTTACAACGCTTCCCCTAAATCCACAAGGACTAGAACAAAAACAGTTAAGATCCTTCCCCAGAGGTGAAATGGAATGCATGACACACACATCACTTTTAGGGGATCGAATACAGCTGTCACTTATATTGATATCAGTCTGGCAGAATCCCACTTCAGTAATTCTAGAATTACATGCCTGTGAAGGAAAGCAAATTTGGTCTGTTACCTTCCCAATATTAATTACTATACAGTGTATTCTTTATTTTCTAGTTCATGTTATAAGCTGTTGCACAGTAAAACATATGTATAAACACAAGAAATATTACTGGCAAAAAAAAGTAATTATATAAGATAATAAATACCAGTCTAATTTCTACTTTTATTACACCAACATTATGTAAGTACCAAATGACACAGATTTCCCTAAGCTACAGTTCCCCTCCAAAGACATCAAGGAAAACACTCTGATGATTATGTTAAAAAGCTGAACAAGTGCTTATAATGTTAAAATTTCAATTAATAAAAAAAAAATAATCAAACCTAAACGTTTAATTCCTTGCTTCCTACTGATGAGAAAATAAATGAATTTTGAAATGCTTTCCTATGCATAAATACCAACTAGCACAGAGAAAGAAAAATGCCTTTTGCTGTGATCACATGCTGAAAACAACCGGTTTTGCTTACACGCAGAAAACCAGAAATGCAAATAAAAAAATAACACTTCATCATGTCCATGTATTTTTGAGTAGGCCAAATCAACAACTCTCCACATGGTAACTGTGAAATGTACAGTGCCTGGTATCAGGAACAATATTCTGAAGCTGGCACATTAATCAGTCTTGTTTTCAAGCTTCTCATATATTATTCTGCATCGATTTTTTTCCCTGTTTTCTTCTGTTATCAGAAAGCATCTGCAGGAGTGCATGCCTGTTAAAACTAGTTAAAACTATAAAATTAATAGATTTAAATTGATTTATGTTACTTTATCCTGCAACAGAATTTGTTTTGATACATATGTTTTTGCTTTTTTTCCCCATACTAACACCAACATTTTTGACACTTGAAAGGAACAATTTTGAGGATGTGACAGAAGATGGCAAATATCTGTTTAACTGCAAAAATATTTACATTCCATATATGTCTGAACTATTGTTAACATTTCCAGTACAAAAAGCTTTCAGCATGCAGAAATATACCCTGCATCTATTATATTTGCCTGTATATGTAAACTGAGAATGCATTTATAAAACACGAATGATTTATAAAACCCCCAGTAATTATGAAATAAGAATCCATCATAAAATGCACATGGAAAACGGTAGTCATAATGTCTGAAATTACTAAATCAATGGAGCATGAACTATGGAAAAAATAAACAAACCACCCACATCTCCCCAGCCTCCCAGTGAAGCACCTACACTTACCTATCCCCAATACAAAGGGGTTTGAGTGCCCCAGCCCAGAATGCACCAGTTTACCAGAGTCCCAGATGAAAATCTTCCTTGTGGCAGAACAGTTGGGAAGGCATCCGTGGTTAACTGTTCTGCCTTGCCTGCTACTCCCTAAATATACATTCCATTTAAATACAAAGAGGGCTTGCAATAGACTTGCACCCACCCAGCATGTGAACATTTCAAATCTCAACCAGCCTCTTCATGAAGAAACAAAAAATTTTCAGTGACACAAATTAATCTTGGAATTTTCTGGAGTAAAACTTATTTATGTTTCAGTAAACACAATACATGCAATATGGACCCTTAAGTAAGAGTTTAAGGAAAAGGCATGAAAAGTATAGTTTTCTGGTGCTTCCTGAACAGCGGATAAACATCTTTGAAATGCATGCTCATGTCAGTGGTCAAGTGCAATGTCTTCAAACTCAGATGCTTAAGCTAGAGGCTCCAGAAGAGATTGTAGCATTCCAGTCCCTGCAGACAAAAACTAGGTCTTTTTAATTGCCCATCCTCAAATGTCTGCTGAATTTACTGAGGAAGCACAAATCTTACCTACATATGACAACAGGTACGTGGAACAGCTATTGACATTATTGACAGCATCACCACTAGGAAGAGCCAGGAACACCAAACACTGCTTTTACAGACTTGCAAGTAGGATTCTTGAAGCAACTCTACACCTCTTTAAAGACCAACATTAAACTGAGAACTTCTTCCACAGCTTCACACAACCACAGTGGGAGAATAGCTCCTACCCTGGACCAAGAGCACTGTAGGCTGGTCTGCCCCTATTTCCAAACATACTCCACCCTATATCTTGAATCAAAGTGTAGAGGTGCTGTGAGTCTTGTCAGACTCTTAAGTTCTCTCAGGCAGACATGTAATGGCATGTATTGCATCTCTACATGCACTTAGGAGGAAAAAAAAACCCAGAAGATAGTACCAGCTGCCACCAAGAGGCTCATGTAAGAAGGGGATGGGAAACAGGTAGTGATGCTATCAAATAATCAAGATTTGTCATTTAATCCTTTTGGTCAAGTTCCAGAAGAGGGAACTGTATATAGGAGAATCCAAATTATAACTTTAGAGCAACCACTTTTAAAAAAAAAAATTCTCTAAGCTACATAACCATGACATTTCAATGTGGTTCCTGGTAGTTGCAGAAACTTACATTTAAAAGTGCTGCATTCCTTCTATGAGCTGCATCAGCTGCTTCAGTTTGCAATGTCTTTTTAGTCTTTTTGTCTCCTAGATAAGTCTCCATCTGCTGTAGCAGCTCTGATCTCTGAGATAGTCTACAAAGGAAAACATTTTGCTAAGTGGGTAGAACATTTTGCTCAGGAGCTAGAAAATAACCTTTTTACCTTACCCAGTTTTCTCAAAACTCTGGGGCTAATTAAGCCGGCTGTAGGGTGGGTGTGCTGGGGGAGGGAAAGGTACAAGCAGACACCACCTGCTGCGCTTGTACGAAGCTACAACGTTGCAACCAGCAGTCCTCATATGCTAAGGTGCTTGGAAGCACTGAATTTCCCAGAACAGGAAAGGCAGGGTGGGCTGGGGTGACCTGATCAGTACTACTCTTGCTCATTGGCAAGTACGAGTTGTTATAAGAGAAGCAGATTTTTCCCAATCATTACTGTGTTTGCTTCACAGTCTGAGTTTACAGGGCAACAAAGAAGCGTCTCTGTAATTGAGGCGTAAAGTGACAGAATCCAATTACCTTCCCCAAATAGCACTTTAATGTGACAGGAGGTTAACAACGGAGATCTTAAACCCCTACTACCATTGGAAGTCAAAACCCCCATCAACCTAAATGCCCTTAACTGCAAGCAAGGATGTTGATTCCAACAGTTCCTGAAGGAAGAGTGCCACCTCCTGGCACACCGACCCCGTGTTGAAACACCACCGCGCTCGGCACGGAGCTGGGATCACCATGCTCAGGACGGCGGTGTGCAGGGAGGGAGCTCTGGAAAGACCACACCACCAACTGCTGGGAGGCAGGCTGCAGCTCCGAGACAATTACTTACATCTCCTCGTGTCTTCTAGCAAGGTGAACCTCCTGAGCCAGATAGGATGACATTTTAGTTGTTTGCTGAAGTTATGTCACTCTATAAAAGGAAAACCAAGTGAAATTAAAATCTTCCAAAGACATACACGAACATACACTTTCCAGTATTTAACAATTCCATTAAAAAGTTGCATGCATGATATTTACACACCAGCTACCTATGCAAAACCTGCCAGAAGACATGGCTACGTTATGATCTGAATACATGCACACTACTAATGGTCACAATGTGTGGTGGGAAAATCTTACTGTATTCTAACAATTTATGAAAGAACTACAATGTAACTTCCAAATTTACATGGTTTAGCTTTGTTTTGGATGTTTACAATCACACATGCAAACTATGTGTTTATGTAATTTGTGTATTACTGCCTATGTTAGTGATTTCTGGCTTCTGCCATGTTACCCTGAACAGAGTTGTATTTGTACGTACCATTTGTAACTACCTCTCACAGATACAGTACCCTCTTCATAGGAACCTATGCTTCAGTACAGGCATGATTAAACTAAACAACTTAAGCTACTAAACCAGTTTATTTTTTGAGTGCTTGAAACATTAAGGGAAAGCTTCATGAGCTCAGCTCCCTAGTATGGTAACGCAGTACATGGTGAATCAGTTTAAATCATTCACATCTTACTTATTTATTTTGAGATATGAAGGAGATCAACTGCCCAGTGCAAGCAAATCAAGATCCTACAGCAGTTTTCAGAGGGCTTATTACAGTCTAGTAGTTTTTTCACTTTGGAGGTGACTGCATTGTTGTCACATTAACTAAAAGAACCTATCACACGTTCACGCGTTGAAAGGTGGGAAAACGAAGAGATCTCATCAAGAAAGGCCTCCTCCCTGTCAAGAGATTCACAGGTAACTTTGAAGCGAGTTATTTACATGCCCACAGTAACATCAGCAGAGCCCATTTTCCAGGGACGCACGTTTCACCGCAACTCTGGAAAACACTTGTAAGCAACCGGCCTGCTGCTAACGCTCCCCCTTCACTTAGCAAGGAGCTCACGCCGCCTGGGCTCGCTGCGCCTCCGCCTCTGCCTCCGCCTCACGCTGCTCGCCAGGTCTCTGCTCATCCGGCAACGCCTTCACTGCCGGCCGGAGGCACCGGGGCTCGGGGAGCGCCCCCAGGCACCTCCGCTCGTTAGGCGAGCCC